CTGCAGGCTCCACGACCTTTCATGTCACTCGTCTTGTAAAGCTGTTTCTACATGGTTGGAAATTTTCTACTATATACTAGGTGCGTTAACATCTTACCTACACTGGGGGGCTAGCGAATTTATTTACATCAGCAATTCATAATCACACCTCACCACCTTATTACAGATTGAGAACCAATTACGAGAGGATGCATATTACTCAATCAATGGCCCAAAGAGCGAGGACCCTCCATACCACATCGCCAAGGGTAACAATACTTCCACTAGACTACAACACACGCATGCTCTTGTTTACTCTTACTAACGTCAAAAAATAATTCCACTAGCAGGCATGATCACACAGCAAAGCACAGCAACTCACGAGTTGATTTCATATCTTGAAGTGCAAGGAAGAAAAAACATCCCCACAGTAGGGTACGTGGATTGGCAATGCACATCCCCTCAGCTTCAATTACTAAGTCTTCAATACAAATGCTTAGACAAAATTCCTTTTCCTCAATTATACTTGACAGGCATAGAGACGCCAAAAGAATTCAGTTTACCATTCGCCTCACATAGGCTTGTATCAATGCACTTTTGCTATCATCGAATTCATCAAATTTATTTTTGCTTTACTCTTTGTGATGTTACATCTACACGAATCACCTAGTACCACGAGTTCAATAACCTTACAAACACTTAAGAGAGATTTAGATAATCCGTATAGCCTGGCCAGCTGGATTATCTAAGTCCCTTTAACTGTTTCACAAGGTGCTACTTTTAAAACGTGGCCACGGACAAATATATTTAAGACCCAAGTGGTCCAAACAAAGGGCACGACCCTTAACAAAAACCTTAGGAGACTGATCCCCTCCTCAAGTACTTCGCGTACAACGGTAAATGTTAATACACATAAGCGACGCAAAAAATCTTGACAATGTCAAAATAAATAACTAAATATTAAAACTTCAAATGTCAAACAAGGAAGAAATTCAAACGAAACAGTAGTGGACATACCTATCTACATCAGCAATAAAAATGAAGGAATCCATAGCAATAATAAATAAAAAAGAGTTTAACTATCCTAGCAAAAAAACAAAATATCTAAACTCCTCCACCACGAGCGGAAGACGCTCCCACAGTGGGATCATCAGCAACCTTGTCATCCACGACCTCTGTGCCCGTGTCATTGGCATCGACCTCATCCTCCTCTTCATCGGATATACTAGCCTCCATCCCACGAATAACCTTCTCACTGATACCACCCGCATCGCGAAGATATTTGCGACAAGCACGTACTAATGGCTTATAAACCACAGCCAGAGCATGCTCCTCAATCATAGCAGCACACTCATCACTACCTCGGAAGCTAAGCTTGGTTTCCTCCACGATGGACTCCTTATAAGCAGCGCCACCCGACGTCGCGAGGAACCTCTTCCCCGTCGCCTTCTCAACTTCATATTTCTCTTTGAGCTGGTCATAGCACTCGTTCAACTTATGAACGTCATCCTTATATGCCTTCGCATCACCTCGGATAACCTCGAGCTCCTCTGTCCTCCGAGCAAGCTCATCTGTCCTCTGGGCAAGCTCCTCCGACCGTTGAGCAAGATCGGACCGCGCTATCTCCAACTGGCTTAGAAGCTCGTCCTCACGTGCCTGACTTCGAGCCCGCTCCTCTTCCTTCATAGCTTCCACGTTCCTACCTTGCTCCATGAGATATCTCCAAGTCGCTACCAACTATATAAAAAAGAAACCAATAATAAGAATATTTTTCGCAAGACTAGTAAAAATAAACATAAAATCTTGTTTTAAATAGACAAGCACTCACCCGACATATGTCCCCACCAGCTAACTCCAACATGTGAGAAGGACCCTTACCAGACATCCGAGCACGATCATACTCTCGAACGAATCCCTCGGTACTCAACATCGGCAGATCATGGTCCGACACATCCCAATACGACTCCTTACCTTCGCGATTCACGCCATAGATAAACAATTGTTTCCCTGCCCCACCATGGAAAGCATAGGTCTCCTCGGGATCTACCCGTGGACGCTTAGGCATGGCCACATACTCGGTATCCACCCTTTTTCCCTTGCCACGATCTCTCGTAAGTGGACGCCCCTCCACTTCACCAGCACTGCTACGGTCATCTTCAATCACTCGAGGAGTTTCTACATGGACCGTCTCACGAGCCAAACCGCCCGAAGAACCTCCCAGCGGAGCGGGAACCTTCTTCGATGCCTTCTTCGACGTTCCATTCGCCTTAGCTCGAAGTGCCGCAAAGGTGATACCCCCATCTACAAAATATAACAAACACATAAGAGACATGGGGTATATCCAACCAAAGAACTACACAAAAAAAATAAAATAAAAAAAAATAAAGAAGCGAAAAAATCAATCACTCAAAGGATATACGGTGTTGACCCTTCGCCTTTGGAATCAAAACCCTCGGATCAAATTCCACATCACACAACCTAGATTCTTCTATCCTCTTCACCATATTCGCAGTTATCTTGAAACTCTCGCACGTAGGGTTCCAAACTACGGGGACGTCGAAAGTGGGAGCCTTCACATAAAAAAAATGGGTCTTCCATTCCCCCAAAGATAACTTCACACTCTTCACAAATTGATAGGGAACGCGAGGATGAAACCAAAAGAAAGGTCCCATATTGGGCCGATGTAGCGTAAATAACGTCTTGAACAAACTCACAGTCACAGGCAAACCCACTAGAGACACCCTATGGTGAAACGCCTCGAACGTAAGAATTGCAGTCGGAGTTAACTGACTGTACCCTATCTTGAATTCCTCACAAACCTTCAACAAGGTCGGATGCGGTGTAATCTGAGATGTACACGTCAAGTACGCCAAAAATACCGTATGAAACCCATCAGGTGGCGAATACAAACGGTCGCCCTTCCGAGGCAACAACAACTCGACATTACTTGGCGCCCCAGATAAACGACGAATAGAATGCAAATGCTCTTCCGTCAACACACTATCAAAATTAACTAAGTCCAAATTAATTGGCTTCTTTTTCTTTTGCCTCCTCGTATCAACCTCAACATCACCCGGCGGAATATCATCTTCCTCCCCCTCTTCATCCGTCGGCTCAACTTCACTACTTGGCACAACATGATCACTCGCCAAAGGGGCTTGATTAGAATCGTCACTATCGCTCCCAAAATCCACGATTTGGCGTCGAGAATAACGCCTACTAGACACAACTCCATCTACTTGCTCACTAACGTGAATACTCGTTTCTACATCGTCACTCCAAGATTCAATGATTTCTCGCCTCACGGAACTCCGAACATTTACACTATCTTCGACATCGATTCGCTCCTCATTTTGCCCAACCCGCTCGCGCGAACCGCACTGAAAAAGGGGCCCTAACGCGCTCTCACGCGCGCGCGTCGCATCTGGCGACGACCTCCCACGCGCCCAAACACCAACAGCAACAGCACGTTCACGCGCCCCCTCCTCTACTTGCGACGCGCGCGCACGCGCGCCTTTATTGGGCAGCGCGCGCGCGTCAGCCGACCTGCCCTCCCCTCCATGCGACACGCGCACACGCGCTCCCTTATTGGGCAGCGCGCGCGCGTCAGCCACCTCCATTCCCCTCCTAGCGCGCGCGTCCACGCCCGCACCAATCAGACGCGCGCGTGGAATCCCGCTCAACGCGCCCTGCACACGCGGCCCTACACCATCCTTCTCTCTCCTCGCCTCGGACTCCGATCCAGCCTCCGACTCGGCAGTTCGGCTCGGCTCCGGAGGTTCCTCGGGGAGTGCGCCAACACACACATCCACAAGGCCAGCGGCGCGGCTCCTGCCCACGGCTCCAGCCACCCGGCTAACTACCCCCCTCTCCACCTCATTCCGGGTTATAGCCAACAACGGTCCGATTTTCGCACCAGATACTACTACCTTCTTGCGTTCTATACCCACCGTTCCAAAAGTTTTCTCACCCCCTTCAACCGGATCTCGAAGTTTAATTCGTAAAGACTTCGACTTACCCGGGTTCGACATGAAAAATATTTTTCCCCGACGAAACAATCAAGAAACAAAAAATTTCTACTCTACCACAAAAAAAAATAAAAAAAAATCAAGAGAAGAATAGCACAGAAGAAGACCTAGAGTTCAAAGAACATACCCATATTTAATGCAAGAGTTGAAGTTTAATTCTTTCCACCGCAAAATGAATCTATTTATCTGGCCCTGGTATAATATATACCTCGCTGCCAAATAAATACAGTTATCCCTTATTTAAATTAAGAAATTAATTCACCGCCAACGGAAACAATTCAATCAACGCCGCAATTAACTCTCGACACGACCCGGATCCCTCTACACACGTCCCCGTCTCGAATCGAGAGTTGGGGGCTTAATGATATACCTAAATGGGCCCTCAAATTTATCTACCAATTAGGCCCACTACACGAAAGCCCAATCACATACAAGTGGGCCCATTACACGAAAGCCCAAGCTCCTTCAAAGTAAGGCTTGGGCCCAACAAAGTAAGCTCAACCCATTCAACGATATATAAATAGATGTTCTACTCATTTGTTAATGTACGTTTTTTATTATTAACTAACAAGCTAGAGTCCAATTCTCTCTATCATCTCCGCAATCCGTATATCTGACTTGAGCGTCGGAGGGGTTTCCGCCGGATCAATCCCCGGTGTAGTTCACGTGTGTTCATTTCGCAGGGATCTCAGGATCATCAAGTTGTCAAACTACTGATCCGCTTTGCTTTCCCAGCTTATTTTCTACACTACCCTAGGTGAGCTATATTTTAGCATCATCATCCTGCAAAATCATTATTGTCACTAATTTCTTTATGTTATCTTTTATTTAAAATTGTTTACGTATTTTCAAAACCCAGTGATGAATTCCTTAATGAATTTCTGAATTCGCCACTGCACGCATACACAAATGTGCGTACAGTGTTGATGATAACCAACTAGTGTATACATGGTCATCTACAAGACCGGCTAGAGAAAATGAAAGATAAATAGAAAATGAAAAATGAAAGATAAATAAATGGACTATTCTTCCCTTATAATAACTTACAACATTGACATGCAACAGCCAATAGAAAAGGACAAAACCCGTGCAACAGACAGGACGAAAAGGACCAAAAACAAAACTCAAAACTTCGGACTCTAGCAATATATAATCATTTGAGGAGAGGAAGAAATAATAAAGAATGAACAAACATCGATTATTCCTATTCGACTCGATGATATTGTCCGAATACCCCAAAAAGAAAAAAAAATAGAGGCTGTGCTGTGTCATACTTAGTACAGAGAATTGTATGTACAGCAGGTGGCAACAATGGAGCCGATGCAAATCACGAGAGAAGGAAGAAGAGTGATGTTTAAGAGCTGACTCTCTCCCAAGAACCCTGCAAGTGTGATAGTCGCATCTGCAACAACTCTTGCTAGTGTTCCAGCTTCGGTCGACAAAAGGCCCCCATTGTAGGTCCCACGAGAAAGCCTGGACGACATCACCCTCGAAAGAAGTGACAAATTGACTCCTGTAATAATCATCGCAAATGACAGAGCAATCAGGTTTATTCTATGTCACACCTTGTCAATTCAACAAACAATTATCATGCTCCTCGCAATAGATTCGAGTTTGCTTCCCCCTCGATAAATTAACATTCGGCATTTAAAAAAATTAAATTTCTTTTTTTGGGTTTTCGGGGCTGCACAAAAAGTTATTAGACTAGCCAAATATCAAATAAAAGCCAATTATATAGTTAGTCATGAATTGATTTTGCTAACCAAACGAGGCCCTGATATGTACGCTGACAGAAACTAACAGTAGAATATATTTGCAAGAATAATTTTTACCTTCCAATACTTCAGCAGCTACAAACATGATGAGGCCTGAGCCGACATATTGTGGCACCGAATATGGGACAAAAAGGTTAAAGCTGAAGAGTATTCCCAGGAAGACCACAATTTCAGACAGTAGCAATATTTGCCTGAATACAGATCAATGACAAAAGCCGATCAGGTCAGAGAAAAGTTAATTTGGCTTAGCTTAAACTTAGACATGTTTATAAGGAAAACATGCTCGGTCATTACATATTTAAGACACTATTATTCCATTTTAATCAAGAAATAATTTAAAGCGTAAAGAAATTGATTTTACCTGTCCTCGTACATATTGCTTAGGTAACTTCCAACAGCAATGTTTACTGGAAGAACAGTTAGGCCTAAGCAGAAGAGAAATATAGACACTGAGCTCGTGGTCCAACCGAAATAGTGTGTCGTGACAACACTTGATTCCGAAAGTAGAATCTCCATGGCATATTTAAGCATAAAGTAAATCAGCAATTGAACCTGCACAATAGCATGTAAACAGTCACAAACATGACGACATTATGTGAAGTTAGTATGGCTAAGAGAGATGGTTTCTGCATGAGAAATAAAGCAGAAAAAAGAAATGGTTTAATCCCGAGGTTTGCTATTTTGGTCGAATTAAAATCTGTAAACTATTTTGCTATTTTCCATATATCATACGGAAAAAAAATCAAGATTCCATATGCATTACCTTTACGGAAGGAGTGAGTAACCTGTAGGCATCAGCAAATGAGTTGGCTGGTCTACGAGATTCTTCGGGAGCCTCTTCACTCACATCTTCATCATCTTGTTCGTTTTCTGTTGACGTTAAAAGTAAAGGTTCTACAAGACCTTTCTCAAGCTTATCTTGTTCTGCAAGTTAGAAACAAAGAAGCTATTAGATTTCCAGGTTTCTATACTTAAAGTTCTGTGTCTTGACACAACCTATTAGGCACATTTCTGCATGCATATCGAACTGAAATACTAAAACAAAAAAATACTTTAAAACATATATTCTATTATAAAACATACCAACAGAAGATTCTTGTTGAACGGGGCTGTCTTCTGCCTCACGAGCAGGTTCTCTGAACGAGATCCAGAGCCATACAAGATACATTAACCAGAACACAGACATCACCCAACCGGGCAAAGTGTCTTGATTGAACGTGATGTTGTATATTGTAAACTTGGTTTGAAGTAAGCCAGCTAGTGCGGGACCGCATGCCATTCCTAGAGCACTAGCACTAACAAAACCTGCCGAAGCCTGCATGCGGATTTTAAGCGGCACACAGTCACTGATATAACGTCTGTTAACTGCTCTAGCAGAACCAAGCCTGCAATAACATGGCAATAAATCACTTAGTATTAGGGGAGGGGGAGAGAGAGAGAGAGAGAGAGAGAGAGAGACCTACCCACAAAATATTCTACCCATCAAAAGTATCCATATCGAGTTGAGGTCAAAAGCCAGAGCATACATAAGATTTCCCACGCAGAGAATAATGCTGCTAAATACGAGAGGTCTGAAGTATGACTTGTTAGACCAAGCACTGAAGTACACGGAAGAAAATATCTGTGCCACTGCCATTGCTCCAATCACAATACCACAAACTGTCGGTGCTGCCCCAAGGCTCATAGAGTAGTCATCTGCTGTAGGAACAATAATGTATGTATTGACCATGTACAAAAACGTGTTCGCCAAGTTCAGGATGAGTGACATGAAATGGTATCTCTCCTCGTCAACATGTTCCTCAACTGGAGAAGGCAACTCTTCGTGCATGATAAGCGCATGTTGTCCCAAAAAGTTGAGGAAATTCGTTGAGTGGGTTAATCTGTCAACAGCTGATTTTATTGTGTCAACAACTGGATCCTGCAGATCAAGGATTTAAAGAGGAATAAGGAACTTGTGAAATACTTTCAAAAAAATTTAGCATCAGCTTAGAGAGAGAGGTACAGTACATAACGAAATTCGCAAAAGTGACGGAAGCTAAATGAATTTTGAACATGTGATACCTGGAGCGGAAGGGCAGGCTGGTCATATATTGATAAGTAGCTTCCCTGGCGGTCCTGAAGATCTGCAAGATTTCGAGATATAGCTCCAACAACAGCTCCAAATCCCTGAAAAACACCAGTCTAGTAAGTAATGATCGACATCATTTTATAAGTTTTATAATGTTGATATAAATTCATCATTAGAGCTCATGTTCTTGTCTAACCAATGAAAAAAAAGGAAAAGAAAAATCAAGGGGACGTATTTTAACCACATTACCACATGCTTGAAGACTTGCTGAAGTTGGGAATAAGGATGATTAGCGCGAGTTTTCACATAGTAATCGGTGAACCTGTAACCGAATCGCTTATCGAACTTCTTAAGGATCTTGCGCAAACCAATGGCATTCATTTCAACGAAATAGAGGAGCTTTAGGAGATCCTGCCCAACTGCTCTATAAGATTCACGTAGCTCGGATATTTTGGAAATATCGGGCTCTTCTTGAAGAGCATATTGTTGCTCATTAAGCACCGCAATCCTGCTTGCTAGAACGCCTTGTTGTTCCAGCATAAAAAGGACAATTTTTTCAATCTGGAATGACAAACAAAGAATTTATTATAACTGACTTATGATGAGTATTTAATGTTTCCCAAAACTTAGTGACTCAAACGAGAACAACATTGACAACTTTCGGTGGCAACTGAAAGAGAGAGACCACGTGTTGGCAAATAACTAAAACATTTTTAAAAGACAAATCTGCAAGCAAATACGTGAACTGGAAACTTCATTAACTGATGGTCAGCATTACAAAAAGTTCGTAATATAGCTCTCACCTCGAATATAGTTGAAAAAGCAACCATAGAAAAAAAAAAAAAAAAAAAAAAGAGGATTAAGGTGAATAATGTAACATATTGTAAATACGTCTATGATTTTAGAATCTATTTACCTGATTATCCAGCATTCTGGAGAAATCCTTGAGAACATATCTACGTTCCAGCGCTCCAGTTTCAATTTGATTAGCATATTGCTTCACTTTTTTCTTCATTAGTTTGTAGTTGATGTAGTATCTGCATTATATCAAACAATTTCAAATTCTCTTCCTTCATATATTTCCAACATGCACAGATATTAATGACATAAAAAAGGCTTCTTTTTTGGGAACGGTAGTCAACTTAACCCTTAACCAACCATACTAAGAGCAACTCCAATGGGAGTATCAAATGGATTATCAAATCCATAAACCACCTTTTTGATATTCCAAAATTAAAATTTTCCACTCCAATGGGAGTATCAAAGTGGGTAAGTATTTTGATATTCTACCTCTTTGAATGTAAAAATACATCCCGGAAATTGAGTTATCAAAAAAATAACTACCTAAACACCCAATCACAAAATGACACGTGGCAATTACAAATAAAACCACTAAAAAACTTCCAATTGATTATTGATTTAGATAACCATGGTTGGAGTAGATAAATTGTAAATAAATATTAAAATATTATCTTAATTATCAAATGAGTATTTGATAATCCAATTTTGATGTTTAGCATTGGAGTTGCTCTAAGAGATACGAAATCATCACTTAGAAAACGGATTCGAATTTATCTAATATGCATACCCTTGCCATTCTTGAATTTGCCTTTCCTTCAACTTTTTGCCGAATTCAACCATCTTTATCTGCAATACAACGATACAAACATAGATTAGTTTCAATGCAATAAAACATGGTCACAAATTTTGCATGTCGTAACTGATAGTCGTCATTTAAAGAAGTTCTATTCTAGACAAAAAAATGACGAAGAAACAGCATCTACTGCATATCCCACTATACAAAAACCTCTATCAGAATCTGATAAAGTAGCGCATCGTTACCTAAATAGCTGAAGATTGTATTATATCAATAACCAGAATACGACTTCCTCTTGAACTTTCCTTTCTGTCTCAAACAAAACAAATGTTAGCGACAGGAAAAGAAAGTTAAACTGATCAAAACACAATCTTAAGCAAAGCTAATAAAATGCCGATTATCCAACATGTTCTTTTTACAAAAATCACTTTTTTCTTTTTTATAGGACGAAGAGTTCATATATATTTGACCTCTATGACCAGGTGTTGCCCTTTCACATTGAGCAAGAGCTAACCAATCTCATTGTTAATAAAGATTGTCTTGCCCATACAAATTTAGGAAAACAAAAACCGATACTACGTTAAACGGATTCAGTTCCGCCCGTTTTATAACACACAATTAGACTATATCAGAGCAAACCAAAAAAAAAAAATAATAAACGAAAAAAGACGAGTCCAAGTACACATGATCAAGCTCATTTTCTATTGATTAAAAGCTTCCAGACCAGTCAATTGCAAACGTCATTAACATTAAATTCGTTGAACAAAGCTTTGTGAGCACTTCAACCACTAACTTTTTTTATTTAATTTGTTTTTTTTTTTTTTTTTTTTTTTTTGATAGCTACTTTTCTACACACCAATGACAACAAGTTGAAAGCTCTATCTGTAATCACTTAAAACCACTCATTTACTCAATTCCCCAATTAAAAAAAAAAAAAAAAACACCATAACACTTAAAATTGAATTAAGCGAATCCAATCTAGATAAATACCAAAAACTAATCTAATGTTGGAATTTTCAGAAATCAAACAATTTACACAATTGCGACTCTATACACACATGCAAAAAAAAAAAAAAAAAAAAAAAAAAACAGAGTTAGAGAGAGAAAGCAATTACCGGAGGAATTTGACTCCGTCGGAATTCAAATAGCTGGAATTAAATGAGCATCAACAAACGCACGTATACTACTTCAATCAGGGATCCGCCAGCTTCCGAGATCGGGTCAGAATTCAAAAAATCGGATCTTTGATGGAATATTCTTATATTCCAAAGTTTCGTCAATATCCAAATTTATTAATTAAAGCTCAATTCCGCAGCCTTTCAATCTGCCGCCTGTGTGTATGTATACAGAGCGAGAGACGGTGGAGGGAGATATATATATATATCTATATATATATGCACAAATTGTATATATATATATAATATTGTAATTACATGTAGAGAGAGAAAGAGAGAGAGAGAGATGAAAATAATTGGAGCGAGAATCGATGTAAGTCTGTGAATCCTATTTCTCCTATGATTACTAGTTCATATTTATAGCGATTTTATTTATTTATTTTATTTATTGAGAATAAAAATGTTCAGATTTTACTTTGAATATCAGCCAGAAACAAATGATTCCTCATGTTTGACTTTTTAGGTATTTTTAGGTCTGCTAAGGTCTTTTTCTTGTTATTTTTTATCTTATAAAAATAATAAATGATAATAATTAAAAGAAAAAAGTATTTTTTTTTACATGTTTTTAATATGAAATAATATGGGATAAAGTTTTGTGCTGGATACAATTAATTACTATTCATGTGGTTGCTGTGAAATTTGGAGACACTTAACAAATTTATTTAGGTACTAAAATATAATAATAAATTACCTTCCACATCAATCATAGAGGATAAAATTTGATAGCCATTAAAAATAAATAATAAATAAAATAGAGTAAATTATTTTAATCAGTGTTCTAAAAATCGGCCGAGGCGGTCGATTAATCGGCCGCCTCGGCTGAGGCGGTCCAAAACCTTTACGATTTTAGTGTAAAGGTTTGAAAAATCGGTTTTTTGCATGTGAGGCGGTTTTAGGCGGTCTGAAGCGGTCCGAGGCGGCGCGAGGCGGTCAAACCTTTAAGGCGGGTCAAACTCCGTGGCAAAAATCGGTCAAAAATCGGTTTTTTTTTAATAATTCAAAATAAAAGTTGGATTTTAATAAAAGAAAATATGAGTTTATGCCTTATTTTGTTTATGTTAATTATAATTGTTAAAGAACTGAATAAATGTTAATTCAAAAATTTTGCTTTTTTATTTATATTTTATAAGGATATTTATGTATTATGATCTTATAATTATTTAACTTTTATTATGTTATTAGGATATATACATGATGGAGATAACTATGTTTAAATATCTTTTTATATATGTTTGGAGTATTTATAAATAATATTTAGAAATATATTATATTAAATTTTAAAAACCGATTTATTTCCGATTTCTCACCGATTAATCACCGCCGCACCGATTAATCGTGAGTCGGTGCCTGACCGACTCGGACCCGATTACCGCCTTTTACAACCTTGATTTTAATGAACTTTTTATGGAAAATTGGTTGTGGAGTGACTGGCAAAGTTCATGTCTATTGCTTACAATTTTTATAGTTACTAAAATTTAAAAGCTTCCTTAAATATTATCCTATCTCATGAAAAATAGGTTCAATTTCATTTTGCACCCTTGAAATGTAGTATTATGTCATTCTACACCGTCGAAGAAAGTACTAGCGATTTGCACTATCGAAACACAATAATTCATTCATTAAGCACCATCAATTGAATTTTTAAAATTTTACGAGGGAAATTTTGTTTTTTATTGCATTTTTTTTATCAGAGTGCAAATAATAAATTAAATTATTATTTTATTCTATCCTCCAACTTAATTTCAAGCATACAAAGTGCCAAAGAAAATAAAAAATCACACCTTGTTACTAAAGAAATATATTTTCTCACCCTAGAAAAAACGTTAAATGTTGACACAAAATTATTGAATCGGTGGATCTTTTATTGTAATTGATAAAAATACAAATATTTGTAAAGAAATATGTTCATGATATGGTATTTTTACTTTTGCACTTTGTAGTTTAGAAAGCATCAATGAACATAAAAAAATTGATTTGAACTTAGGCATCTTAAAAAAATACCACTAAAAATATTAAATTACACTCACGAGCTTAAAAAATTCATTCGAGATGCATTATACATTATTTCTCGTATTACAATTGTGCAAAGTGATATTAATATCTTTTTTAAATGTAAAGTGCCAAAACACTATATTTCAAGAATGCGAGGATTAAGCTGAATTTTTATTTTATTTAATTTCCTTTTTTTACTTTTTTTTTTCTTATAATATATATCCACTCTTGTTTTGAAGTAAAAGGGAGGATAATTCATCAAAAAAAAAAAAAAAAAAAAAGAAGTAAAAGGGAGGATCTGTTTGGATATGACAGCACTAGGAAATATGAGTTGTTGATGAGAGATTTGTTCACGTGTTTTATTTTTTTATTAATTAATAATTAAGTTGAGATCAATTTGTGTTGGTGAATAAATGAAATATTTATGAGTCCCCTATTTATGGATACATTTTGTCACACGTCTGCACTTTTTTTCTTTTCTAATTAGGTTGACATATAGTTGTAATAGCGTTGGCAATTAAATGAGTATTTTAGAGTTCTATTTAGAATAGATTTGTTTTGAACTTATCGGGTTATACCGTATCTTATATAGAATCATATTTACTTTTCAAAAATCTATCTATCTACAATATATATATATATATATATATATATATATATATATATATACCTTGGTGTTAATATTTGAAATCCGGACTGAACCCGAGTGAACTAGTTGAACTGCAATATCTGAACCCGAGTGAAAATCTCATTTTTTTTTTGTCCAAAATTATATTTTTTGTTTTATATATGAAAATAAACAAATAAAATGACCAAAAGGACGTTTTTTTGATGTCCAGATGAAGAAAAAAAATCAAATAAATTTTGTTTTTTGAAATATGAAGACATGTTGTTTTCTTATTCTAATTTCTATAATATTTGAAACGATTTGGTGTGAAATACCTCCATCAAGGTTTAATTTTAAAGAAAACATATAATAAAAGTAATAATGTTGAAAAATAATGTTACATTTTTGTATGTAAAGTAATAACTACGTAAATTAATATTAACTATTGGAAAATTGATGCTGAACTATATATATATATATATATATATATATATATATATATATATATATATATATATATATATATATATATATATATATATATATATATATATATATATATATATATATATATATATATATATATATATATATATATATATATATATATATATATATATATATATATATATATAATAATAAAAATAAATTAAATATTTTTTTATATATATATTTTTTTAAATATATATATATTTATTTTTATCTATCTATCTATATTTATATATATATATATATAAATAAATATATATATATATATATATATATATAAATAAAAATTTATATATATATATATATATATATATATATATATATATATATATATATATATATATATATATATATATATATATATATATATATATATATATATATATATATATATATATATATATATATATATATATATATATATATATATATATATATATATATATATATATATATATATATATATATATATATATATATATATGACACTAAATTAAATAAAATACAACAAAACTAAGATAATACTCAGCTTCAGTAAAATACATATAGTGGATTTATGATTAATATGAATGAATTAATTAAAAAGTATTTTTTTATATGTGGATTCTTGAGAAAAACATTTTTAAATCTCTTCATTTACACATAATTATTATTCATAATGTACTAATTAAAAGACAAATAACATGAAGATGAAGGTCATGGCTAAATTTTCACATTTAAAAATATAGTCAATTGCATTGGCTGCTAAACCTTCTCTGACCGTTCTATTGTATTGTACTATTGTGGTTCCATAATTGGTTTTCGATGAATACCCCGTGCATCGCACGGGTGTATTACTAGTTTTAAAAGAATATAAACTAATTAACTAAAATAAAATATATTAAATAAATGCTTAGAAAGGGACTATTTTTGATAAATTAATAGTATATACATGATTGTTATGCTACATCTAAAATAAAAGGGGACAACTTATTAAAAATCTTTCTAAGTCTAATTTTCTGTTTTTCGACAACTTAGTTAGAGAGTTTAGATTGAAAATAAATATGTTGGACTGAAAATTTGCATTTTCGTCCACCTTCATCAAATGCCCATTCACTTCTAAAATGACCTTTCTTCCACTCCTTCGCATCTTTATATCAGTCCTCTGCCGCCGACCGCCTAATTTTTACCGACCACGTCACTAAAAAATATTATTCTCATTATCCTTTCAGTTTAAGATGCCTATTTTTAGTCCAAGACCTCTAACTAAGCTATCTATTCTCGAGCACCGTCAATAGAGTTGACAAGAAATAAATTAAAAACATAGCCTAAAAGTAATTAATAATGATTCCTTAAAACTCCTTTTCTCATAAAACGACCTTTCTAGATTAACTATATAACATAACATTTTATCAATATATAATAAATAAAATCAAGAATGCATATATTTAAAGATAAATAAAATCAAGATAAGATCAGAAAGAACTCAATAATATACATTCTTAATTCAGAGTAAGGTAACACCAATTTGTCAAAAGTCCAATATGATGGCCATGACCGTGATGCAGTCCCTAATTATTAGCTTTAACTGCCTAACAAACAAATCAGTTTTGGACACGTGTTTGGAAAAATGTTTAAAAAACTAAAGTAAAACAAACATGATGGCTCCACAACCTTAAACTTAAAACGAGTATTAAATTGCTTGATTATGCAGACACTGAAGTAATAAATACATACTAACCCTCGTTAGGAGAGTTGGTACCTAACATTTACCAATAGCGTAACAGTTTAGAGTTCGAGTCCCTACTCTTACTTAATACGCGTAACGATTTTTTAGTAAATGTAGGAATTTTTTTTAGTTTTAACATTTATCTCTATTACCCTATTTGACAAAATAAGATGAGATATGTATTAGCTTTCAAAATTTTAAAATAAAATGTCCTACATTTACTAAAACTCGTTCTGCATTTATCACCACTATTTAATATATTATATTATAGCCCTTTGATGGGGATCCGTTTGGCCAAACTCTCCATATTGAGCTTATTAAAATAGTATAAGTATAAAATGTACCGACCCAATAGACGTCAAAGACAATGTCTCTTTAGGAGCTTGCAGTTAACGAGCTCGTCAATCCATCCGAACATGCTAGAGACAAATCAACGGGGTAGGTGGTGAGG